GTTTTTTCAGTCATCACTTATTTTTTAATAAAGCTCGCCCTTTTGTTCCCTTGACCTTTTGTCTTTTTTATTCTGCATGTTGGGTCCTACCTTTTTCCGAATCCTGACCAAATTGGACCCAGCAGATTCTGGTCTTAAGTTGGGCTATACAGGCGGAACGTCTTGGTACTCTCTGGGAGTGCATTTGTTATACCTGGTATGATGCCTCATCTAGACAGGGTAGAGTGGGACTGCTTTGAAGGGGGCATGCCAGGGAAGGGTTGCTGCTCGCAAGCCCTGGCTCAGAGCTGTTGCCTGAGTGGTTACAAAATTTTACAAGTAGCCCGAAACTTGTCTTAAGCCTCTATCCCTTTCCTGGGGTCTGGCCTGGCGCTTGGGAGGTCAGCGGATCCTCCGGAAGGGTTTCTGAAGGATGCTAAAGGCCAGGATTCCGCAGTTCCAGCGGCTTCACAGTTTCCGGCCCCAGCAGCCATGGCTCAAGTCCCCTCTCAAGTCCCTTCTCAAGTTCTTCTTGAGTCCTCTCGAGCCCTTTCAAGTCCCCTCTCGAGTCTCCTCTCAAGTCCCTTCTCAAGTCCCTACTCGAGTCCCTTCGAGTTCCCTTTTCATCCTACTTCATCGGGGTCCCGTTGACTCGGGGTTCCACCGACTCAAGTCCCTTCTCGAGTTCCCTCTCGAGACCCTTCTCAAGTCTCTTCTCGAGTTCCCTCTCGAGTCACTTTTCAAGTCCCTTCTAAAATTCCTTCTCATGTCCCTTCTCTATTCCCAACTCATGTCCCAACTCCATGTCCTGTGTTGTTGGGGGTTCCGCTGAGGGTCCTGTCAACTCCTTGTCCTGTGTTGTTGGGGGTTCCGATGAGGGTCCTGCCAACTCCATGTCTTGCCCCCGGGTTGTCCGCCCGAGAACCCTTCCTATTCCTCTGCCTTTCCCCCGGGCCGTCCGCCCGAGACCACCTCCTTTTCCTCTGCCTTTCCCCTGGGTCGTCCGCCCACCACCCCTTCCTGGCCCAACCCCGGGGGGGGGGGGGGGTTCTGTCACGATCTTAGTTTTATGTCACGATTTTAGTTTTGTCTGTCTTATCATGGGTTTTATTTTGCGATTCTGTTGTCTCTGTGTCTTGTCTTCCTTCCTGTGTTTTCCCTCCTGTGTCTGATTATCTGATTGTGTTCACCTGTTGCCCTTGCCCGTGTTTCTGCCTCCCCTGCCCAGCTGTGTCTTGTCCTGTGATTACCCTTCTTTGTATTTAGTCTTGTCTTCCCCTGTGTTCCATGTCGGTTCATTGTCTTTCCTGTCTCCCTCCATGTTGGTCATGGTCAGTTTTTGTTTTGATGCTACATCGTGCTACCTGTTTATTTTATGTCATGTTTTTTCAGTCATCAGCTTTTTTTAAATGAAGCTCGCCTTTTGTTCCTTAACCTTTTTGTCTTTTTTTATTCTGCATTTGGGTCCTACCTTCACCCAAATCCTGACAGAGTCTAACACCAAGCTTCTAAATTAGCACTAAGCGAAAAAATGCTAACGCACTTAGCACATAACTCACGGTAGCAATATGTTATACTTCATGCAATATTTCACATTCATCCCACATTACTGATATGAAAACACAGGTAAGGATAATGTTAGGGAAAATATAATAACAAGACAACATCTCTGGTTAAAAGGTCTATTCCTGTAGATCAAGCTTTATAGTAAAAATGTGTTTAAAGCATAAGGAAAGAGAGTTCAATATACAGAGCTCCTTATCTTATCTTTTTGGAAGCCAGAGAAGAACAGGTATTGGACCACACATTTTTGGTAAGCTTTGGCCGCCGATATCAGTACATTTAACTTTCAAAATATTTATTTTTCATGCTGTATTCTGTAACCACACAAAAATAAAAAAGTGGGCGAGTAACAAATCAGAAGAAGAGATTAGAAAAATGTTATCTACATCTGTGCACAGCTCTATCCAAATTATTAATCAAAGATTCATCTTCCCCTTCATCATGAGAACTGTTAATTCCTTTAAGAGATGAGAGCATTACTACTAACCTACCTCTGTAAGCTCTTCATTTCTGCAGATTTAAAACAGCATAGTGTGAAAGCTCACAACAGACCGGCAGCTCCACTTTGTTCTAAAAGCATTAGTCTCCTAATCTCTTCTGCTTTTGTGTGTCAACATGAGTGGTGCAACTAAGCCACAACTAACTCTCAAAGTTAAGATTGTGAATAAATCAAATCTGCTCAAGGAGTTTATAGATGTGGCAAGATTGTAGGCAATGTCATATCTGCAAGAGTCCACTTGTTTATCACATGTGTACCCCTTCAAGAATTCAGTGTTATGGATTTTGTGTATATCGTGTTTCGAACCACACAAACAACTGTCAGTGTTTACTGATTGCTAAACTGTTAGTGATAACAGCCTTACACACAAAGCAAACAACAGGTGGGATTATTTATCTTTTTTGTATAATAATGAATAGAAGAGAAGAAAATACGAATCTTGAGAGAATTCATGCGTTTATTTTAATTGTTAAACCCATCTTAGTTGGAGTAAATCTTTAAACATAGCTGTTTTGTATATCACCAGTAGTTTGTCAGTCTGTCAACCCAAACAATAATTACAAATAGGGCTGTGTTGATTGTGAGCACCTTGATATTGATTAATGTAGTCACAAACTCTGATATGATCTGTTAACATGTCACTGCTACACACAAGGACAATTAGTTATATTGACCATGCACATATGGGGTAGTTAGTTGGCCAATTGCAAGCAGGTGCCTTTGTCCTAGATCTTGAAGGATAATAGAGGCAGTAATTATGATGTGTTCATTTTAATGGGGTTTTATTGACAAGCATGGTAGCCGCTCAGACCTAGCCCCCCCAATTGTTCTGCTTGTGAAACAGCTTTGCAACTCAATTAGATTTGACATTGAATTTGACTCTATGACAACAGAAACAAGTAAAAATGGGGAGCAGACATGCTAAAATGCAGTGAAAGTGAACTGTTTTTCAAAATGAACCACATTGGAAATGTTAACCCTTAGATGCATAAGTGGGGTCAAAAATGACCCCGAGGGTTGTTATTCTTCAAAGTCTCTGAAATTAAAAGTTTGTACACTTCCATATTCCAGGTATTCCTCATAAAACATGTTTGTGACTTGAGGCCATTTGAATTTTTTTAAATGTTTTTATACATTTTAAGAAATTGCAGTTTTTGTGTCACAGTTTTTCATAAGCGGGGTCAAAAATGACCCCAAGCATTTCCTACAGAATCTCAAGGGTTTGCTTTGGGAACCTTTGATTCTTACCAACTGTGACTGTCAGGATACATTTTCTGTCCCACTTACACATCTGATGCCTGCAGTCTCAACACCAGGAGGTCAGTTTGACACAGCAGCATACATGTAAGTATTATCTTCATTTATCAACTCCATGACTTTTCTGTGATAGAGTATCATGTTCGTCAACAAAGTAGACACTAGTTAGCTAACTACAAAATAATGTTAGTAGTAATGTTAGTACTCTGTTAGCTAGCTTACTAAGCTAGCTAACATTACACTAGCCACCAATTGCTGTTGGAAATGCAGTACCCCAGTGTGCAATGGTCACAGCCAAAAGCAAATAGTTTGTGACATCTGCACACAGTGAATAGAGAAAAGACGTTTGTGTGGGCACATGTGAGTGGACAGTGTTCTGGTCTTATGTATGTTCATTCTCTTTTTTGTCCTCCAGACAGATGGACATACTAACAATAATTTTTGAAGATTTTTGATGTTATTTCTTGTGAATTTTTTTTATAAAAAGTTATAAATAAGCATGTTAAATGTAAAATCA